AGGTGCATGTAACACAGCTTATTGCTTCTTCTCCTGAAGTGCCACAGACAGCTTTGACATATGGGGGGAATGGAGAAGGAAGGACAATTTCCTTCATGAAATGCCGGATGAACAGTGCTGATACACAAAGGAAAACACCAATGTTGTCAGTTGCCATTTCTCATGTTGCTCACCCTTCTCCTAAATAAAAACTAGAAATCAACACCTGAAACTGATCTGTTTATTCTGTTTCCACCACAAGCATTGCCAAACACATCCAAACAGCGGAGCTGGAAAAGTTTAAGCCTAATTTCCATTTAACTTTTTCTTTTCTTCTTTCTTCTACCTCCTCTCTCCACTCAAATCTCACCCCAAGGTAGTTTCACAATCTGACTCACTCTGCTCTTTCCCAGGCTAGCAAGCTCCAGCAATGACAAAACGTAATGCTACAGACTTGAGTTTTATTCTAAGCCCCAAATTACCATGACGGACATTTTGTTCAATATTGTACCTTGCATGACTTTTTTTTCTGATTAAAAAACATCAGCCCAGCAGAGGGTAGCATGGTGAGCAACAATACATTTCCCAGACCTGGTGGGATGTATAGTGAGCAAGAATACCAATTTCATAGCTGGGTTAACTGAAAACCAGAGATAATGATTTGTCCCATATCCTATTGTGTACTGAGTACTAGAGCCAAGAAGAGGAAGTTAAGTTTTGACTCTCAAGTTGCTTTCTGCCCAACAGCGTCTTTCAATCACTATGTGGGAAAAGCGGGGCCATTTCTTTTTGATTGTACCTGGTCCATGTACATAAATTACTCACTGAAGTACCCTGAAACCCACTGAGTTACCTTTTCAATCAACAAAGTGGAATAATCTTTTTTATGCTCCCATAAAATAAAATAGCAATAAAATGATGTATGCACTGAAGGATGCTGATTATTTCTTTTAACTACCTCTAAACGTGGCAGTTCATAACAGATCTACAGTCAGCACAGAAGTAAATTCCACTATGTGGGTGCTCTTAGCGACACAACAAGCACATTTACAATTACTTTTACAAAACACATGCAGAAGTAAAAAGATTTCCCCAGCTGGATGAGACTGGCAGTGCATACCAGTATCCCCAGTCACCAACCAGCACCAGGTGCTCAGGGGGAAGCAATGTAATAGATAATTTAGAAATGGCATTCCCTGGAGAAAGGTCTACCCTCAGCACCTGGTGATCTCGTTTCAGCAGCTGATGTTAAATTTACCCCATTTCATCAAGGTGTATGCCCTTCCAAGCAATTTGATTTGAATGTAAGTACAGACGTTCTCCTTACCCAGAGAAACACCTATCCCTTTCCTGAGTGCAACTTAGTCCTTCCACTCCCAGCCTTCCCATGAAAACAGCTACCAAAGGTTAATCATGCATTGCAGAAAAGGCTGTTTTTCTCTATTAGTTGAAAACCTGCGGCTTTTTCATTTGGTCTTATTTTTCTTGCCGCATATACAAAGTAAACATAACTGCAATTGTCCAACTAAGTGCCTCTTCCTGTTCCTATTGAAGTCAACAGCAACACTTTCTAAAATCAATCTGTGTTCTTACTCATTAACTGTAAAATACAGAAACCCACAAGGAACTTTCCAGCGAGGGAGATTTAGCAAAGTCAATCGATATAGAATAATTATGACAGCGAACTAACATTAGGATAAAAAAACAGAAAATAAATTCCAGGCTTCTGGATGCATTTGGAAAAGTTATCCAGTTTCATAGCCTTTCAAGGCTATGAAAAAGGCCAAAACAAAAAAGCCAAAAAGGGCAAAAAAAAGAAAAAAAAAGCTATCAGATTGTTAATGAGACTGAAAGCCAGAGTAAAATAAAAATCCCTCAAATCTGTCATGAGCCTTCATGCTTGCCAAGAAGGCGTGGATGTTATCCTGCTGGGGAAGAGAAGATTTATGGCACCACACACCTTCATCCATCCTACTATTATATATGAAATGGAAAATAAAACAGGCCAGCACTGCCCTCAGAAATAATCAGTATTTTGCTGCCACCGAGTAACAAGTATTATTATTATTATTATTACTAAATCAGGAGGTACAGGAATAGCCACCAGGTGCTTATTAACAAATTATTTTTAAAAAAACAACAAACCAAACAGGGCTGGGTTCCACCTTACCAAGGGCATGAAGGAAAATAAAACAGGCCAGGGGAGGGAGGTGGGAAAGGCTGGACCTGGCACATGCCAGGACCGATGGCGGGCAGCAGCACCCAGCACCACAGCCAGCACCGAATGCCTGGCGCTGGCAGCAGTGATGGAAGGGGAAGGGACCGCCAGCCCTCCATGAAGCAGAAAGACAAAACAGGCAAAGAACCAAGCACCCGCCAAACACAAGTGCGCGTGCCATGGGAGCAGGGAGCGTGCCCAGACAGTGCCCCAGCTGCTAAAAAGGATGGAAACATAATATCCATAAATAAATAAATAAATTTGGCTGGCTCGTCGGTGCGCAAACCATGATGCGAGAGCAAAACCACAGCAGAGGTTTTGGAGTGACACCTGAACGCTGCTCCCATTTCTGCATCCCCATCCCTCCACCATCCCAGGTCCAACCCACTGACAGATGACCCTCTCATCAAGGACACTTGTATCCGGTGCAAGGGCTTAATGTTTGCTGGCGATGCCATACAAAGTTCCTGGGCTGCCTTAGGAAGCCCAGGCCCTGGTATCTGGTCGCTGAGAAAATGCTTCCGCTCCACAAGCAATTTCACACAGCACTGCATGGGTCTTGTGATTCTCCTGCTAGAGCTGTGCTTTGCCATCGGAGAAACGCTTGTGCCTTGGCCGAAAAACTCAATTGGATTTTCCTCGTGGATTACCGGCCCTGAATTTCAAGCTACATACTCAAAAAACTAAGCTACTTACTGCCCAGCAGAGCTAACGCAGCAGCGTGAGAGGGGCCTGCGTTAATGCAGGCACAGAACTAACTTCTTTCTCAATATTGAAAGTAAAGTAAAACTTTTTAATAGGATTGCTGTTTAAACTTTATGGTTCTTTGCAAGATCAAGGCAAATGACATCATCTCCATAACCAAGACCCTGGTTCTGAAATTTTAAAGGTCATGGTCAATACACATATTTAAAAAAAAAAAAAAGAGACTTCAGAGAAAATACACAACCTAATGTTGTTGCAAGTTTTGGAGAAAGCTATTATAAACTAAAGGGACTAGAGAACCACAATAATTTTCTCTTTCTGCCCTAGCTCTTCTACTCCTTCCTTCAGCACAGATTCTCTGCAGAATGAATTTCTTGCTCCTCAGCAACAGCAAAAAGAAAAATATTCTGATAATATTTTGAGAATTCGATTATAAACCCACAAAGCCACAAAAACTGGCAAAGGACCTAGAAGGTGTAACACTTGAAACTGCCAAATCATTTATTTAACTGAGTGGATTTCTGATAGTTTCCTTTTACCAGTCAAACAGTGACTTGGGGCTAGTCCCGCTGGGGACTGAGTCGTTACAAGGCCGCATGGCGCCAGTAAAAAAACTCAGAGCACCTCTGCTCCAGCACAGGGCATCCGACTCCGAGCAAGGCACCATCCCACACTGGACAAGTGAGATGCTTTTGTTCGGGACTTGCAAGAGAAGCAACATGCTGTACAGGCAGGTGCCTGGCCAGGCTGCCGGGAGAGTAGCTCCAGAGCCTGAAAGGGATGAGATTTCAGCTGGTACCCAATGCATGAGCACAAGAAGGCCCCTGAGTCACACCGATATCCGCAACCTCCAGCACTGTCCCAGAGGCAGACCCATCTGCCATCCCTTGCCTTCACGAGGGGGCTATGGGCCATTGCAGGGCACGGCGACCCTCCACACTTCCTTTCCAAGGCATGTCACTGAGCAAAGAAAGTTAATTATTTACTAGGCAAAAAAAAAAAAAAAAATTATTTTTTTACAAAGAAAAAAAAAAAAAAAAAAAAAAAAAAAAAAGAGGAAGCTCAGTGATTAGGGCAGTCAACCTAGGAGAAGGGAAACCTGGGGTCTACTTGCTGGTCCAAGAAGCGTTTGTGCATTTGGCTGTAGACAGTCACCTGAGAAAACACATCGGACAGTGGGAATTAGACACCACACTTCTTCCTCCTCTGACAAACTAAGTCTCACCCCTACAGAAAGAGAAGCCCTGCTGTCAAAGGGAAGGATACCTCAGCAAAACCAGCAGCCATGTGGCAGGTGAAGCCTCCTGAGATGTTGGAGACGTGGCTGTAAACCACCCTGCCAGGCTGGAGAAGGTCTCACAGGCAAACCTCCTGTTACTTCGGGAGAGAGCTTAACCAAGAAGCTGCCAGGAAAAGTAGAGGCTTCTCCCCAGCTACATTTGCACTTGAGGATGGCATGCAAGTGACAATGGCCAGGCCAGAGGATGTCTGCCGGCTTCAGGACACAGAGGGTCTTGGGAATGGTGTCCCCCACGGTGTCCCCCACAGAGTCCCGAGCAGCTCCCTTCTCTCAAGGCAGGAGCAGCTCCTGGATGGCTTGGTCGAGGAACAGTGAGAACCTAGGGACTTCTGCCACCATTCTGGCTAGGCAAGTGCTCAGAGGATGTGCTTACATTCCACCTAAGGTCCACTTCGGATATCTAAATCCTTCCCCATATCTGGCCTTAACTCTTGAACACCGTAAAGAACCGCAATAAAGTAACAGAATCAGACAAAACTAGACAACTATCACATTCCTGGTTCATATGTAAACATTGTCATTTAAAATAGTGCTTTCTTGGCTGAATCTTCAAAGCTTCTCTCACCTGGGCTTCTTTACATTCTTTACATCAAAAATATATCTGTCTACACATATATGATGGTGCCTGTGTCTCCTTCTATAGTTCTCTTGCTCTTGCTTTTTCTTGAACAGCTCAAGGAGAATGACATATGTCGGACTAGAAGCACCCAGAGCTGAGCACGGCTCCCAGGATGTTAGGTTGTGTGCCCAGAGAGGGAACCCTTCGCTGCAAGACAAACACAGTTATTTCCCCCGCACCAGCTGCATCACATTCAATGTTCCCTGTGTCAAAGTTAAAAGTCGCCAAGTGTGACAGCCCACTGCCAAGCCAGTCCTTCTGCAGCTCAAACACCAGGCGCTAAAAAATGAAATGAAGCCATTAAGTTGTCAATCAGAAAGCATACATTATACCAAGCACCATGAAATTGCAGAGATGAGCTGGTTCTCCTCTTATTTCTTTTGTAACACAATTAAGATGTTATCAGGCCAAAGTACAACATTGCGGTATCCTGACCGATGTGAAAATCTTTGAAAGTTGCATTTATTTGCCACCAGAACCACAAGCTAACAATACAGCCTCCATGCAGGCAGTCCCCATCTGTTGCTTTTTCTAAGTTTTGAACAAAGCCATGATGCTGTGCATTGTAAAGGTATTAACAATCCCCAGACACCATTAACAGCCATGTCTGGTGCCTAAAATTCATACTCCACCAGCTATGTCCCCTTCCAATCTGCCCTTCAGTATGCTTCTTTCCTTCCTCTTTTCCTTGCAATACAAGCAATTCACATCCTGAAAATACATTGTTAACTTACAGAACCGATTCAAAAGAATCAGATAAATAATAAAGACATTTCAACCAGACTTCAGACCTGAGTGTAAGACATAGGCCCACAGAACAGACTCAAAGTGCGCGCTGTCCAGTAACATACACTCGTGACTAACACCGATGCTCTCTTCTCTACTACTACCCAGACTCCAATATTGCTCCACAACATACCAGGGAGACACAATGTAAAGGAGGAGAAGGCTACAACAGCTGGCGCTCCTCCTTGTTGCAGCAACCTGTATGACAGGGAGATCTTGCCGGCAGCCATGCTGAGGTCTCACAAAGCATCACCACCTACCAGGTGATCAGCTACTTTGGCAGAGACATTTATGATGCTTTTATACAGTTCGCACACAGGGTATGGCCTAAGTGCCAAGCTGAAGACTAAGTGCATATACCAAAGCATGCTTTTCTACTAACATATCCTGAAAGCTAGAAAAAATAATTAAAAAAAAATTCACCACCCTGTGCTACCCTTGATTTCTTTAGTCTGAAGAGGGGGTCCTAAAAGCTGCATTTGCAACTGCAGGTTAGCCTTTTCCTCTTTGTAACCAGCCAGAAGGTTTTGCCTGTGTTTAATAATCCCATGGCTCAAAGGTACCAACCACTTATCAGACAGACAGGCAAAAGCCACCTTGGGGTAATATTTTGCACATCTTCTTCCATGTGTGTATTATAAATAACAGGCAGCAGTAAATGGCATCACACGCATCCAAACTCTAGAGCTTTTGTTTATAGGAAACCTCAATAAACAACTAAATAGCTATCGATAAGAAGTATCTTTTCCTTTTAAAGGCAGTCAGTGTTTATAGTCCAAGTTTCTTGTATTTCTAACCGTCAAGAAACAGCTCCAGCACTTGCCTCATCTGGACAATCACGCCTGCTAACACCTGTCTTTTCACATTCTCAGTTTTATTCATTATTTATGTTTCTCTTTACACAACACACCCGCAGGACAGTACATCTCCAGCATGCTTACGGATTTGATCCAAAGCTCACTGGAGTCAACAGAATGACTTCACTGGCTCCGGAGCGAACTGAGGGCCCCAGCTCCGCAAACGGGCTTCCAGCCTGAGGAGGGACTTACGCACGCGTTGGGCGTCCCAGCCCAGAAGTGCGATCGCAAAATCCCTAACCCTTTAGCTGCTTGTCTTTTATCCAGCCAAGGTCTCCAAAAGTCTGAACTGTTTCCTGATTATTTTATCCCCTCAGTTATCTGGTTGGTGAAAAAAACACCCACAAACCCTCTGTCATGGTCCATGAAACAGGGGATGAGGGATAGGTCTCCCTTTCCCAAGTGCGGTCCCAGCCACCAGGCACTGGAGTTATTTTGTGTGTGCATATGTATATGTGTATATATATGTGTGTGAGTGTGTATGTGTGTATATATATGTGTGTGTGTCTGTATACGTATACATATTTGTATATACATATGTATATGTGTATATAAACACACAAACTCACCTGTGCACACACATTTTTTGCTCCCCCTTCTGGCCCCATGAATGTTGAATTTTTTTTCTTCCTGGTGGAAGCAAGGGAGAGCAGGAGAACGGTCCTGCCTCCAATGCAACTTGTAACCAGGGATCTGCAGCACCGCTCAGGGAGGAGCGCAGTGTGGATGGACTCCTAATGAGAAAAGGGCCCCAAAGCCTTACTCCCTCATTACGGCAGCATGTAGATGTCCTCTGGATCCCCAGACACGTGTACCCTTTAGTCAGGCAGGTTAAGCAGTGGGAAGGCAACATCTTCATTTTTTAACAGAGATGGTCAACACGGGTGGCACGTTACTGAGCCTAACTCTGACTTAGAAAGAGACCCGATGCTGGGAATTTAATGTGGCAATGCTTCACAGACATCAGGCTTGCAAACCATGTTAACTGGGAAACATATACTTTACATTCCTTTACGCATGCCTCTCAAAGGTGTGCTGGGTAATTGAGTCAGTTCTCTGTATTTCACAGGGGACCGGACCTGAAATTGCCAGTCTCCTACCTAGCAGACCTCCATTTCTAGGCTCTTGGCTCATAAGTAAAGCTTCTTCTTCGGTACAACTTTTGCTGTTAATTCATATCATACACAAGCTTTACACACACGACAGGTTTGGTTTGCAGGAGAGCGGCTGGGAGCACATTTTGTTACCATATATCAATTAATACAAGAAAAACGGAAAGAGACTTCCAGTTTCCAAAATGAAAAGACTCTTCCAATTTCAGTGCAGTTATATATTTTAGAAAGAGAGAGGGAGAAAAAAGAAAGGGTTTTGACTGACTACCAGCATAAAAGCTGTCCATTTTCTGGATGATGCTGAAGCCAGCTCTGGGCAAAGGTGACTTCCACCCCAAAAAACAGTCACCCACCAGATCACAACAAATACTAATTTTCCAGAACAATCCCATGGACACAGCTCCCGGCACTTTTGTTTCAGCTCGAGACAAAGACAGATTTTTCACACTAGACATACCCTATACCATAAAACCCTGCTCCAGTCATCACCGCATCTGCCGATGCCAGCACCGATGGCCACCTGCCCGCCCATAGCACCAGGATCCCGTGCTCGTCGTGCACCTGCCGGACGTGTCACCCCTAACAGGCAGGGATGCCTGCACACATGCACGTGTGGTCCCCGCTGCCCCCCTGCCTGGGACCCGCTGTGCCCTGCCTGTCCCCTGGCAGCTGGATGGGCACCACCACTGCACCTTCCCACGCGGCGCGCCCCGCCCGGGGCCGGGGCTGGTGCTGCCAGCAGGCGAGCGTGGACAGGGGTAGGACAGCAGAGATTTCTGATGAAGACAGAGCCTCACTCATCCTTTTTGCTCCCGAGCTGCAGCCTGCAGCCGCTTCCCCCATCCCAAATCACCCCACCGTAACCCCACAACAAGCTGATACTAGGCAGCTGGCAAAAGGCCTGTGCTGCTTTGGCACACACCAGTGCAGACAACCCCCAGGCAAAGCCAGTGCAGCCCCCCGGGCACTGCCCACCCCCGAGCGCCGCCCTGCCCACCCCCGAGCGCCACCGGCTGCGGGCCAGAGGCAGGGAGAAAGAGCAATCGGGGGGACATACCCAGCCTCCGTTGTCCTGGATCCAGTTGTGCAAGTGCCGGTTCAGGTATTCGGTCATCCAGGAGGCGATGCTGTCCACGAGGGGAGACATCTCGCGGTTGACGCTCTCCACGCACATCACACCGCCGAACTCGAAGAAGGCCACGATCCTGCCCCAGTTGACCCCG